TTTTAACTGTTCTTTGCATATTTTTCTCAGTGTCGAAAATTTACTGAATAAATTTACTTAATTTCCCAAAGGACGCCTTCCCTTTAAATTACATTTCTTAGGATGCCTGCCTTCCAGTTTATACAATACCGGATTTTGTCCACTTTGCTACTAGGGGTTTACCGGAGGTGAAGTGGGAGGAATATTAAACAGAACGCGGGAATAAGATCACTTCCGGCTATGAGGGGAGCCTTGTGTTAAGTAATAAGGTGACGAGGGTTAGTGCTGAGAAAAGAGCTATGTCTAGATTTGAGGATAATTTCAGAGTTACGTTCAAGGTAATTGGGCCTATTGTTTACACAAGGAAAATATCCCTTCCTGGAATTTTGCATTAGGCCACGTGTATTATTCAAGTGTCTTAACGGTTGCTGATTTTAAAATTTAATATCCATATTTGCTCGTGCATTCCATCCTCTGCACTTTGAGTTCGCCCCCGACGTTTTCGCTGTCCGAGGTTGCGTTGGAATTTTAACGCTTTATAAGAATGTGGAGGAGTGTGCTAAGAAAGAGACTTGTTATGGCGAGGGAGGTGAGGAAAACGCAACAGAATCGGTAGAGTTATGAAGCGAAGAGCCATCCTATACTAGGCCGGCATGCAGAAGAAACTAGCGAGCATATGTGTGCTTTCAGTAAATTCTTATCAGGCCAGTATTTTAATATGAAAACGGGGTACAAGTTACAACATGCAGCCAATGATTTTTGTCTTTTCATACAAGTCAGTGGTGATAATAGAGGGGGTGGCGATAATAAATGGCTGGTTAAGCGACAATGAGGGCTTGGTGGAGCCATTTCAGGGGAGAGCCTGGAGCGAGAGCGCGGAAGAGTGCATGCGGTTAAGCGACTGTTGGTCATGCCAGGCGCAAAACTTGCAGTAGGTTCTTTTCAGCACGCAAGATCAGCTCACTCAACCGAATATCAGTCCCTCTTGCTGTTGCCAGTCGACGCTGACCCAGAGACCTGAAGTAGTTTGTTGGGACCCTACAAATTATTCGGAAGGCTTCGTCGACGTCAACATGATGTCCAGAATCAACAATGTTTCGAGAATGGCGTTGGTTATGTTCCTGATTTCGTCTGAATTCTTAAATGGGAATTTTCGTACCTCATATCAAAATTTTATTTCGTGTCCAAAGTATCAGCTCTTTTTCAACTGGACTGACGGTCGCTTCTGTCAACGTAATGACGCGCTAACGTACTGTCTGCGAGTATCACTTCAGGTCCAGGTAGAACGTCAAGTCAACAAGTCTCCTCCCTTTGATACTGAGAGTAATGATTGATCGGCAGATGTGGAACCTTATCCTTGCCGTGTAGAGGAAAGTTGGAGTTGGGGATTTCTGCCTGACTGCGTATTAAGCCAAAATGAGTTACCCCATACTGAACAGACAGAACTCGCCCGTGGAGGGGGTTTCTAACCTAGTGCTACATGAGCCATATGGTTTGCCACCTAAACGGCTGGCGTGGTAGATGCATTGTCACAACACAGGAGGCGTTATTCGGTTTGAGCTCCCACAAAAAGTGCCAAACAG